AAAAGCAAATCTTTCTCTGTCTTTTTCTTGTAAGGGTGTTGAAAAGAAACAGTCTTTTAAATCAATAACTATGAGAGGCCATCCTTTTGGTAACAGAGTAGGCAAAGGAATTCCAGATTGTAGAGAGCCCATTGGCTGAATTACTTTGTTAATTGCTCTAAGGTCTGTTACCATTCTCCATTTACCAGATTTCTTCTTAATAACAAATACAGGAGAATTTGAAGGGCTAGTTGATTCCTCAATATGCTGAGCATTTAACTGTTCTTCTACCAGCTCTTCTAAAGCCTGGAGTTTCTCTGTTGTTAAAGGCCATTGCTGGACCCATACAGGCTTGTCTGTTAACCATTTTAAAGGTAGAGCTGTTGTTATTTTTGGAAGATCATCAGTTGTTGTGCCCTGTTCTTGTATAATAGGGATGGCTGGTGACCACTCAGAATAATGCCTTCTAATATTTCTCTCAGAAACATGTGCTAGTTTATGATTTGTTTCTGAGATTGGAGGGATGTTAATCTGAGTATTCCATTGTTGCAACAAGTCTCGACCCCACAGGTTCATAGCTATGTTAGCCACATATGGTTTTAATTTTCCTCTCTGTCCTTCTGGACCTATACATTCAAGCCATCTTGCACTCTGTTTCACCTGAGATAATGTCCCAATTCCTAATAGTTGAACGTTTACCTCTTGAAGAGGCCAAGTTGGATGCCAAAATTCTGGTGCAATTATGGTAACGTCTGCACCTGTGTCTACCAGACCAGACAACAAAACACCATTTATTTTTATCGATAATTTTGGTCTTTGTTCATTAATAGAAGTTTGCCAAAAAATTTTCTTTATGTTTTCTCCTGAATTTTCTATTCTCTCTGTTTCATCATCTCGACCAACATGATTTATTCCAATAGGCATTTGGTTATTTAATTGCTCTGAGTAGGGGTTTCCTCTACGACTGCAGGAAAGGTTTGAACTGGATTTGCTATTGGTGCCTGCATGAGGCCCCTCTGGGAGTTTCCCGAAGACTGAGGCAAAGGATTACCCTGTCTGTCCCTTGTTGATCTACATTCCTTGGTCCAGTGTTTTCCCTTACCACACCTTCTGCATACTCCAGAAGGAAGGGGCATTCTGTTGCCATTGTTCCTTGAAGAAACATTGTTTCTAGGAATGACCTGTTTACAGTCCCTTTTCAAATGTCCTTGCTTTCCACATCCAAAACATCTAACATTCCTCAAACCTTTTGAAATTGCTTCTCCTACCCACGTATCATCATGCTCATGAGCTTCAACATTAACCGTGTCTCTAATCCAATCTTCCAAAGGTGCAGATCTTGCCTTTAATGGCCTGATTATTCTTTTGCATGCTGCATTTGCATTCTCAAAGGCCAAAGTTTCAATTATTATCTTACTAGCTTCTGAATCCGGGACCATTCTCTTTACTGCTGAAGCCAGTCTTTGTAAAAAATCTGTGAAAGATTCTTTTGGGCCTTGTACAACCTTTGCAAATGACTCAGTTTTTTTTCCTGGTTCCTCAACTCTGTCCCATGCATTCAAGGCTGCTGTTCGACATAAAATTAGGGTTTGGACATCATATAAACATTGTGTTTGTGCTGAAGCATATTGACCTTCTCCAATAAGCTGATCCTGGCAGATTTGTATTCCTTTATCCCTCCACTGTTTTTCTATGTTTTTAGCTTCATCCTTGAACCAAGTTAGCCACTGAAGCCTTTGACTGGGTTCAAGAACAGCTTGTGCCAGCTCCCGCCAGTCCTGTGGTACAATCCTATTATATGTCGACCAAGAGTTTAACATTTGCTTTACATATGGGGAATGCATGCCATAAGATACTATTGCCTCCTTAAACCTTCGTAAATCTAACATTTCAATTGGAGCCCAAATATTTTGTGTAGTCATTTGATCAGGCAACTGCTGTACGGTTACTGGACAAACTAAGGGTGACTGTGTGAAAACAGGTTTTCTTTCTGTAACCCTATGATCCAATCTTGAAGCAACTTCACTGTTAGTTTCTTCTGTCTGAGTTTTTACAGGTTTAACAAGTTTTTCTAAAGCTGTCACCCTGGCACTTAAATTGACTATCTTTTTAAATAGTAAAATGAGGATAAGCATAGTAATAAAATGCAAAATTTGATCAACATTAATCTTCTCATATAGCTGTTCCATTGTCAGACTGCCTAAAATTGCAAACAAAGCCCAATTTTCTTCCAATGAACACAGAAAACCCATTTTTTTTTAAATGTGGAAAAAAATTTCTCTTTTAAATAGTTTCCTTTAAAATATCTGATATGTTAAGTGACTAACCAAGTCCTTGTAGAACAGTACCAATCCGAGGGAATTTCAAAACAGCCACCTAGTGTCCGAGTTGTGAATCTAGAGAGAGAGAGAGAGAGAGAGAGAAAGAGAAAGAGAACACGCAAGAACCGTAACCGCAAGTTCTGCCTAAGAGCTTGAATCCAGCCACGTGTTCCCGCTTGAGCCTAGTCAAGCCTTGGCTCTGGCTACCTTAAGCTCCAACCATGTGCGTTGGCTTTACAGGCAGGGGCCCTGTTCGGCAGGGCAGGCCTGAGTTGTTTGTAGCACCGGCTTTAAGCAAGTAGCTCAAGGTTAGTCCGGCCTGAGGCCAAACCGACCTGGGCCTGGGCTAGGGAGCCGGCTGCCCTGGCGGGAAACTGGACCTGCCGGCTGCCCTGGCGGGAAACTGGACCTGCCGGCCGCCCTGGCGGGAAACCGGACCTGCCACCAAGCCAAGTTAAGCGGTTTTTAATGGATTCTTGTCACGTTGGGCCAAATGTAGATGTAACCAACCGTCTTATTAAATAAGAAACACAGAGCCGATTCAGAGAAGAAAGCCAAGAGGTCAGAGCTAAGAGCCTCACCCTTCCTGCTTCAGTGATCCTCTTCAGTCAAGAGAGCTCTCCGAAAGGGGCCTACTTCCTGTGTGTATGTCTTTATATAGTCTAGCTGTTCTGCCTTCTCATTGGTTGTAAACACAAACACGTGACTGCCTCGTCACTGCCTGAATGTACCGCCCTCCAGGTCCTTAAAGGTGTGCGCCACCGCCGCCATGTACTTGCTATGGCTCTAATAGTTCTGACCCCCAGGCAACTTTATTTATTAACATACAATTAAAATCACATTTCAGTACAAGTAAAATACCACCACAGTGATGTCTCATATTTTAAGGAACATTCAGGTGTTGCTAGTATGTGGATCAATAACTCTCAGATTCAAAAGTTAAATTTCCCACAATGACATAGAAACATGACAATTTCCAGGAGCAAATCTTGTCATTAGAAAAGAAGCTCACCTGTCTCAAAAAACCAAAAAAAAAAAAAAAAAAAAAAAAAAAAAAGAAGCTCACATTTCAAATTAGAAGCAGGTTCCCGGTGACCATGTTGGGAAAGCAGTGCTTTGTCTGGAGCACTCATGAGCTGTTCCAAGGTCATGGAGAACAGCCAGAGAGACCTTTGCAGGACTGGAGTCCCAGTAAGTAGGATGGCCTGACTGGATCACTCTTACCACCAGTTAGAGCTATGGTTGTCTAGTCCTTCTGCCCCTGGCTCCCACCTTTTCCCTCCCTCTTTTCCAGCATCAAGGTGCCCCAACTGCATGCAGTTTTATGAGGGTTTCCTGGAGAGGCCACGCTGGTAATGGGGACAGACACAACTGCAGCTCCATATAGACTATCACAATTCACTTCCCTGGTCTCCCTATCCCAATCACTTAGCGCACAGAGGTAACTATTGTCCTGAGCTTTGTGATGCCCTTCTGTTTACCAACTTATTAACAGAGTTCAATGCTCGTAATCTTTACCTTTGCTCATTTCTACCCTGTGAAAAGGGTGTCTCAGTGTCCACAAAATGTGCCGTCTCCCCCTGATTTATACTGTAACATATCTAGCTGAACATATGCAGTGGTTGCTTCCTCGTGTTCACTGTCATAGAAGATTGAATTATCTGAAAATACTAACATGCATTTCTCTTCCTTGTGATTCTAAATTATTTTTTTGACAGGTTGTTACCATGTTGAGGATCTCACTGGTTGTCCTAGAATTGACTATGTAGACTAGACTTTCCTCAAATTTATGGAGATTCACCTGTCTTCACCTTCTGAGTGCTGGGATTAATGGTATACTCTAGCACATCAGGCTAATTCTAAGTATTTTTAAATTTTCCTTATGATTTCTTTTGTGATCCATGAGTTATTTGGAAATACGTTTAAATCTCTTTGCTTTAAGTTAATCTTTAGGAATGTGCTATCCTTTAAATTTACTTCTAAACACAAATCTTTAAAAAAAATCAGTTGGCTATTGATTCCCAACTCTACTTCCTTGGAAGAATAGATGAGTCGGGACCAGAGGTCGGTGAATTATTACTGCATGTGGACTAAACCCAGTCTGCCATTTGTTTTTCTGTAGTTGGCAAGTTAAACATGGTTGGCCATTCTGAATGGATGGGAATCCCAGAAGATGAGGTGTATGGGAATTGTAGAAAGTTCTAGTTCATTGGTACAAATAAAGTTTCACTGTAACACAGCTATGGTCATTCCTATGTATTGTGTGTGGCTGCTTTTGATCTATGTAGGGGCAGGCAGCAGAAACCACTGACCTACACAGTAGAGGTATTCACTACGCAGCTTCTGCCAGAAGTCTGTTAGCCCCTGGTACAGAGGTACAGTCTTTGAAACCTGTTAAGACATGATGGAGGTGTGACTGTTTTCTGTGATTCTGACGAGAATTTGTATCTCTAGCTGCAAATGCCATATATGCTCACATAGACATGTATACACACATATATACATACGTAAACATGGCATATATGTATACATATATAATACATGCATGTGTACACACATATACACACACACACACGAGAGAGAGAGAGAGAGAGAGAGAGAGAGAGAGAGAGAGAGAGAGAGAGAGAGAGAGAGAGATCAATATCTCCCAATAGCTGCATGGATGTTGAAACCCATTCCCACCATGATGCTGGACTGCATGCTTCTTGTTGACTTCATGATTACATTAGGATATCTTTCTCCACGATGATCTGTTCATTGACTGTGTCCTAGTCAGGGTTTCTATTGCTGTCATAAAACCACGACCAAAAACAAGTTGGAGAGGAAAGGGTTTATTCGGCTTACACTTCCACATCATAGTCCATCATGGAAGGAAATCAGGGCAGGAACTCAAACAGGACAGGAACTGATGCAGAGGCCATGGAGGGGTGCTGCTTACTGGCTTGCTCCTCATAGCTTGCTCAGCTTGCTTTCGTACAGAACCCAGGACCACCAGCTCAGGGGTGGCACCACCCACAATGGGCTGGGCGCTTCCCCATGGATCACTAATTAAGAAAATGCCTTACAGCTGGATCTCATGGAGGCATTTCCTCAAATGAGTTTTCTTCCTTCCGGATAACTCTAGTTTGTGTCAAGTTGGTATAAGATCAGCCAGCACAGCTTGTCACATCAATGCAGCCTTGCCTACCTTCATTTCATTACTTGATAAGTGATGTGTCCTACACGTTCTGTGGTCTTTAACTGCCAGTAGTACAGTTATGTATTTACAAACATAATTTATAACATTAATTGCCTTTTAGCTGGAAGGTTTAGGGCATTTGTACTGAGATTATTTACATGTCTGAGTGGTTTCCTCTCAATCTTATGCTTTCTATTTTTGTATTTATATGCAGCTTCCTTTTTGAATAGTGTAAAGGACTGACTATTGGTTTAATGAGTTTCGTTTGTCTTTACTTTTTGTACTTTATTTTGATTTGGGATATTAATCCCTGGACTTAAGGCATTCTCACCACAGAGGAGCCCCTGTTAATGTGTTTATCGATTTCACCTTCCCTTCCCCTCTTAGGGGACAAAGAACATAGAGGTCATGTACTGTTCTATAGAGTTAGGCTAACTGAGTTCAAATCTCATCTTCATCATGTACCAGCTATACAGCTTATGTGTGTGTGTGTGTGTGTGTGTGTGTGTGTGTGTGTGTGTGTGTGTGTGTGTGTTGCCAATGGAGACTTTCAGAAGATTATTGAGGGTTTAAGTGAATACATTTACTCAACTTCATATTGCAATGATCTTATGGGAAGGTTTTGCTGCAATCATACTCTTAATATTTTGCTTAAGGACATTTAAAATGAATATCTAGCCTTCTTGAAACAATGAAACCAGAACAGTTTAACTCTGTCCCTGCTCCTCTTGACTTGTATGCTGTGGGGTAGTATTTCAATTATGTCCTTTATAAACCCAATGTATTTCATCCTATTCATTTTTATTCTTTACAGGTTAGAGCTCTATATCAACCCAAATGTTTGTTGATGTATCTGCTCAATTCTTTCTCAGCATCCTCTTCCTCTGTCTGTGGGCTTACTTTCCTTTCTCGGCAAGTGGGCTTCAGATGCTCAACTACGAAAGATTTAAAAAGAGATAGCTCTTGCTCATTCACAAATGTCTGAATTCTTTGTTCTGAAAATATAATTTTCTGGACATGAAATTCTAGGTTGTCAGTGATTTTTGCTTAGCACTTTGAAGATATCTCACTGTCTTCAGCCTCATTATTGCCATTAATAATCCTTCAGTTGTTTCTCAATGATTTTTCCCTCTGGTGTAGTACACATTGGCTTGCTTTCATGTGTCTTATAAATGTGCACACACACACACATATATATGAATGTATACTTTATCCTTTCTTTCCAGGTGTTCCATTTGATAGATTTATATATGATGTCAGAACTCCCTGCCTTGGAGATATGTCTTAAATCCATCTTAGAATGTCATCAGCTATTTTTCCTTCACCTCCTGTCTCCACTGCATTCTTTCCCCGTCACTCAGAGACTGGGAATAGCTATCCACATGTGATTCGCATCTCTTGGTCTTCTCACCTCTTCACACCCCCATGCTCAGGTTGGACATTTTCTTCACGCCCAACTCACATTGTTCTTAGGGAGTTCCCAGCTTCAGTGGGTCTATTGTTCCCTTACTAATGCTCCTGGAGTCGCAGCCATTTTAGTTGGTCTTTTCTTTGGGTTTTATTTTTTTAGTTCCTGTAACAGAGCATTGTTAATTAGCATTTTTGAAGCATAAATCTAATCTTGTTTTGATTTTTTTTTTTTTTTTTTTGCTCGAGACAGGGTTTCTCTGTGTAGTTTTGGTGCCTGTCCTGGATCTCACTTTGTAGACCAGGCTGGCCTCAGACTCACAGAGATCACCTGGCCCTGCCTCCCAAGTGCTGAGATTAAAGGCGTGAGCCACTGCCGCCTTCTGATTTCTTTTCTTATATGTCTTGTGATCTTTGCGTATGAATCCATTTCACTGACATTAATTTGTGGGAAATTCAAAGATAATAAAGTGATTTTTTTTTCTCCAGAAGGGATTAGTATGTAGCACTTGTTGGATTTCTGTGTGGCAAACAAATTATTGACTACTAAAAAACAAACAGCCAAAAAAGCAAACTATTTCACCCACGTGTAAGAAATGTATGTGTATTTCTTTTTGACTAGTAGAGTTTCTAATAGGTAAGTAGAGATCATACAGGGAGATGATATTAGTGTCATTTCATTTCCCATCATCCTTCACGGTTTCACACACGTAGGTGTTACACTGAAGCAGTCTGAACCTTTAGCTTCAAAGCGTTTGCAGGTTAAACATAACAGAGTCTGTGAATGCAAATGAATACAAAGAATCATAACAAACAAGAAACATAAACAACAATTACAAAATAAGAGCCCAACAAGCCCAAGCACCTCTAAGCATGAAAAGGTCTAATGATGTAAGCATTTGGCACGCTCTTTCAAGAGACAAATAATAAAGACGGTGGTAGCCAAATGGAGATTCCTTGGCTACCAAATTATACTTAGAAGGTTGAGGTCCGATCATAACAATAATATTCAAACTACAGTACCCCTTTTCTACAGGTTTCCAGAGAGATGCCTTGTATTATATGTGTTCACAACTCAAAATTGGGCTAGGCATACAGCTCAACTGTAAAACATTTGCCAAGTATGCTCACAGAGAGGCTACACACAGTGGCCCTGAAATGACATTTCCATAACAGGTCATAGGGTAGAAGTAGGGAGGGTCATTTGAAAAAGTTTGAAGAGTACTTCTGATTAAACTCCCCAGATAAAATTCTGCCATTAAAAATTTACACATTAAGAAAAAAAGCCAATTTCTGCCATTTTCCTTTGTGTAAAAAACAAACAAACAAAAAACCCGTGTTCTTAGCATTTGTAGGTTAGGTGTAATATTTTGGTAGAAGTATATTTTAATTGTATTAACTAAACCCAGTGTTTAGCATATGTATCACCTGATGATATATAGATATATATATCTATATATCTATATATCATGTCTTTGCGATGAGAATATTTTAAGTCCCCTCTTCTAGTTATTTTGAACATTAATGCAATTTTCTGTATGTAGCTTTAATACTCAGATGTAGGCTGGAGTTTTGCACTTCAATCCATATTTAGGATGCTCATCTACTCTACATATTTGTGCTTATTTTGCTCTACATTTTTTTTTGTTCCACATGCCAATATTAACACAGGAGGTTTTTTTTTTTTCCTTTTGATTTTGAGAGACAAGATCTTGTGCAGCTCAGGCTGACCTTGAAGTTGCCACCTAACAAAGGATAGCTTTGAACTCCCGGCCTTCCTGGATGTGTCTGCCAAGTGCTATGATTATAGGCATGTGCCAAACATGCCTCGCAGTAAGTGAGGTTTTCAAACAGTAAAAAAAAAAAAAAAAAAAAAAAAAAAAAAAAAAAAAAAAAAATCTGGCAACACTCTAAACAGTTAATTCAGGCTGTTATGATGGCTCCGTGGGCAACAGAACTTACTGCAGTCTTGATATCCTGAGGTTAGTCCCTTGGGGCTTATACTGTGGAAGGAGAGAACAGACTCCTGCAAGTTTTCTTCTAATCTCCACGAATGTGCCATTGACACATCTACAGAGAGAGAGAGAGAGAGAGAGAGAGAGAGAGAGAGAGAGAGAGAGAAGAGAGAAGAGAGAGAGAGAGGAGAGACTAAATAAATAGAAATGTGATAAAAAATTTAAACAGGAAAACATGATTGAATCTTAGCAAAATTATAAACCAGATTACTTAAATGAAGCAAAGAAGACATATGCATCAAATTTATAGACTTTTAAGTTTATGGTGATGGTTAATATTTATATACAATTATGCCCTAAAACAAAAATACAATTTGAAAGAAAACTTTAGGTTTAACAGTATGGACTTACATGGAGCACTAAGATGGAAGCTACCGTTCAATTGCAGTTCACGCAATGCAGAGCTTTCTGTTTGACCCTCGGCTGTCTGCTCGCCAAAAGAAAACCGAACACAAGTTTGGGATGTCTCGCTGCTGGAAGGGTTCCTTGATCAAAGGGTCAATGATTGTTTTAGTGACTTACTACGGTGTGTGTGTGTGTGTGTGTGTGTGTGTGTGTGTGTGTGTGTGTGTGCCAGAGAGAATAAAAACCCCAAGCTCATTTAAGACAGGGTAAAGAGTGGTTTTGACAGATCATTCTGTCATTTGAGGACCAGTGAAAGGAGAAACATTTTGAGGAAAAGTCTCAAAACACCTCTGTTGGTTATTTATTAATCTGCATCTACCATTGCAAGGCTTGCAATATCTGTACGATTAATTTCATGTAAGTCCTATGGGTAGGTCTAGACCAGTCTACGGTTTAAAGAGCGTTGGTTTGGGTTCATAAATGTATTAACGTAAGCTGTGGAGTAGGCAGGCCTGGAGTTTAATTGTGATGTCAGTATTGGCTTTGGCAAAAAGGAAATTCTGAATATCATTTTCCCAGTTTTCTAAAATGGCAATTCATTTTAAGGCTTAGAGATGATGTAAGTAGGTTTCTTCGTTCCTGGTGTAGATGGTCAATAAACAATCCTAGTTATCTATACTATCGAGCAAAACCAGCTGTTTCCAACATTGGACATGATCTGGTGGATGTTCGTCTGTTGGAAATGTTGGACAGAAGACTCTCGATGAAGGCAGAGACGGAACTTAATCATAAATCCCATCACTGCCCCCTTTATTCCCCAGTCTTGGCCTGAGCCTGCCTCACAAAGCAGGTAGGCCCAGCTATTTAAGCCAAGTTTCATTTAATAGTCTTTCTTGGCTTCTGGAAGTCAATTGACTTGAAGTTAGAAAGGCCTGCATGTCTGGGGGCGTAGCTGTGACAACGGAGGTACCGTCAAGGGTAAGAAAATGCGAGGTTCAGGAGAGAACACCGGCAGATGCTCATTTTGTGGCTCCGGATCGACCCAGGGAGCGCTGAGGTGGCGAGCAGTTGTTTCTGGACTGAAGTCTCCCATCCTCGAAACTACACCAGGCTCTTGGCAGGAGCTCCCATGAAAAATTGGATCCAAGCCGCCTTGTGAGACGGGTCTGGGCTTGCTGGCCGCATCCAGGGACCGGGGTTTGTTTGGAGCTTCTCTAAGCCAGTGAAGCCCTTGGGTACCACTTAAACATCGCATGGTTTGAGGAGATGGAAAAGAAGAGACCAAGGGTCACAGTTCAGAGGCCGGGAGAATACCTCCCGCTGCTAGCTGGGTAGGGCAGTAACTCCTGAATTGACAGTGGTCATCAGCTGTGCCCCAGGATCTGGTCCCAGTCCACTTGAGCGCTCTCTCTGCCTGGGGCATCACCCCGTCCCGGGCGGTGCTCTACAGACGCATGTCGGCTCACCTGGGGAACTGTGGACACAGTCTGAGGCTGGGATCCCCGGTCTCCCCTGCTGGGTGTCGTGCCCATCTTGCCGACCCAGTCCAGAGCCCAAGGGTGCGCTAGAGACTCAACCGTCCTCAAGACCCGGCAAACGGAGCCCTCTCCCGGCCGCGCGGGGCAACGCGCGTTCCCGGCTCGCTGCTGGGCATGCGCGGCGCGCGCTGGCTGTGGCCGAGAGCGAGCGGCTCGCACACATTGCCCGGGCGGCGGGCGAGGCGGGCTCGCGGGGCGCGGGGCTCCGGGCAAGCCCCAGCGGCGACTCTGCAGCGGGGCGCGGTGGGCGCTCCACCCCGGGGCTCTTTCTCTCTCGACCACCCGCCACCTCGTGTCTTGGGGAGGTCGCGACACTCCGCGAGGAGCGCGGCGGCTCAGAGGGCGGATCCAAGGTAAGAGCCCCTCGGACACCGGTGCGGGTCCCCCGGGTGGGCTTCCCGCGGCATGGGCTCCCCCTCGATTTTCCGTAAGCGCCTTTGTGCGCCGGGACCCGAGCGGTGCCAGGCTCGGCGGCCGCCGCGGTTCACTTGGACCCTTTGCAACTGGTGTCGGCGGCCAGGTGTGCGAGGGCGCTGCCGCCCCAGCGCGTCCCCGAGCCTGCTCCGCGCTCCCCGGAGCCACGAGACCCGAGCCCGCCGCGACCTGCTCCGCCGGGGTGGGAGCCGAGGGCTCTCCCAGACCCCACGCTCACCTGGGCTGCGCGGGGCGCACCTGAGATCGGCACACCTGGACGCAGACCGTACCTTAATGTCTTGGACTTGGGGCTTTGAGAGAACCTCTCGCCCCAGCCCAAGTCGGGACTCCCCCCAGGAGACCCGTTAGAGATGGGGACCCGCCCTAGTCTACACCTCCAGTTGAGGTAGCTCGCTGTGTTTGAGTACTTGTAAATTCTGGATCACTTTCCAGCACCATTTTACTTTGGGGAAGATGGCCTCTCCTATTGCTGTCATTAGGGCTTTGGAGGGGTTCCACACCCACTGAGAGGTATTGCAGGCTCCCCAAGTCTCACCCCTTCCTTTCTTTTCAATGACTACAATACACATGCAAAGTCTTTGCACGGTTCTCTGAGCCCTGCTGCTCCAATCCTCCTCTTCATCTCACTGTAACCCCAAGTGCTGCTGGCATCTCGCCTGGGCAGGAATCCCTGGTGTTTGGGCTTAAAATCCGGAGACATTTGGAGCGGCGAGGCAGTGGAAGAGGCGGCTTCCCTGAGCCAATGTTTCAGCGAATGCATGGCTGCTTTTCTTTTCAAGGTTTCACTTCTTGCCTCAGACAGTAGGAGAGAGAGACAAAATAGCGAATAAGATCCGTTCAGATTCAACTTGGTTCAGACACGTGTGAGTACTTTGAATTTTTACTTGGTTTTGCCACTTTGAGTAGGAGGTGGAATTGGGATTCCTGGAAGGCTTTTTTATGTTAAACAACAACAAAAACCTCAAACTGTGTTGTGGGCTGTTTCTAATTTCTCTCCTTTAAAAGGATGCCATTCTGCAGCTCCTTGGGTTTGGGACCGCCTGCGCTCCAGTGTAGAATTGTAGATCTTGGGGACAGCTAGTCTATTAAAATTAAAGTCAGTGACATCTCACCTCACCCAGTAAAGATTACTTTCTTTCTTGTTTTTAAAATTGGGGATCGGAGGTTTCTGGGCATGCTGCTGTAGTTCTTAGTTTGGTGGTGTGGAAAATCTGTGGCTGATGGGCTCACACCATCTGAAAGTTAAACCAGTCTGTGTAGACTTGTCACATAGATGGTGTGTACCGAGTGCCACAGCTAGTGAGTGTGTGCGCATAGAAAGCCTTTCCTGCACAATAGTAGATTAAGACTTCGTAAAATTTCACAAGTCACTTCCCTCATAGCAGAAAAAGAAGGGAAAGAAAATATCTTGTAATTCCTACTGTTCTGAGCTAAGTGTTGCTTATAGTATTTGGGATGTGCACTTTGTAACTTTCTTTCACTTTCAAAGTGTCACTGAGTATTGTTCTAATTGGCAAGCTGGCCTTTGATTAACAGTGGGAAATGCCTTAAGTGAACTTGTATTGAGGATGATTAAAAAAAAAATTCCCTAACAGGAAACTGGTGTTTAATTTTGAACACTTTGCTTATTTGTGTTCAGAGGTAGAGAGTTCATTTTGTGTGTGTATCTAGCTTTTCAGCCTCCAGGACTTTGTAGCTTTGTGACATACACTGCTGCCCTCCGCCTTCAGTGCTTTCTTTAATTTGCTGTGTTTCACACCATCCCATTTTAAAACCTTACATTACACATCTCTTTATCTACTCCTTTTTATTCCCCTGAATCTCCTCTTCACTCACCTGTTTTTATCTTAAAATATACGTTCAATTGAGCCTGGTTAGAATAAGAAAGTATAAACGCCGGATTCAAAGCTCTTTTGTTCCTTGAAGTTTTATTAGATGAGTTTTAACACTAACTTCATTTATGTAAATTTTAGATTGGCTTTTCTAAGTCGTATTAAGCACATTTGGTGGTTTTTGTCTCAGTGCAAAACAACCTAAGTATAGCTTATAAACTTTCAGACATCTGCAGGGGTGTCAGAGAGGAAGGGATGGAACTTTAGCCAAAGTGCTCTGGCTATACAGTACATCCCTGCTGGGAGTTGCTACACCAAATTGTTTGCAGCTGTGAGGAACTGAAAATATTTTTCTTAAGACGCACTGTAGTGGAGTCCTTGCAAACAATGTGAACTGAGTGTTTACAAGAAAGTGGGGGGTTCTTCAGGTCCCCACTGCAGCGTCTTCAGATACATTTCGAAATGGGCTTTTAAAACAGACCCTAGGGGCTGGGGAGATGGCTAGGTGGGTAAAATGCTTGCCAATCCACGATGAGTTCAGATCCTGAGCACCCACATAAAAAGCTGGGCATGCCTCTGCAGTCCCAGTGCAGGAGTGTGTGAGGGGGGAGGCAGAGGGTGGATATTAGGGACTTGCTAGCCAGCCAGTCTACCTCAAATGGCAAGCTCCCGGGTCAGTTGAACACACGTGTGAGTGCAGACACACATACACACACACACTAAAAATAATAAATGAATATTGATAGTCTGTAAGCTAGATGGTAGAAAAATGCAGCAGTGGTACAGGGATTATAATAGCGTCTCCTATTAACATCCTAAATTGTATTGGCTGCAATTAATGGGTCGTTATTGGTGTTGTATTATTAGTTATAGCTCATACTTTGATTATGTCTTTTTTCCTTTGTTTTTGGTGATTGAACCCAAGGTCTCATGCACATAGTTCTACCGCTGAGCCACACTCCATCCCCTCCCTAGTTTTATCTAACCTGTTTTCTCTCTCAGGAGTCTACTAGTCAGAACACTAGTCACATTTGATTGTCAGAGTCTCTTCAGCTCAGGCTGACTCTGATCTTTTCTCATATTATCTTTGTTTTTTTTGTTGTTGTTTGTTTTTTGTTTTTTTGACAACTTTGACCATTTTGAGGAGTCCTGGCCATATACGTTAATAACATGCTTTTCCCCTTTGAATTTGTCTTTTGTTTGTCCCGGGGGGTAGGCTGTAATTATGTGCACCTCAGATGCGAGCACTAGGAAAGCTCAGGTGGAAAGATGACAGGTTTGAGGCCAGCCTGGCTACGTAGTGAGTCCCTGACTTAGTCAGGGTTACTATTGCTGTGATGAAACACCATGAAAATCGAGTTGGGGAGGAAAGGGTTTATTTGCCTTCTGCTTCCGCATCGCTGTTCATCACCTTAGGAATTCAGGCCAGGAACTCAAACAGGCCAGGAACCTGGAGGCAGGAGCTGATGCAGAGGCCACGAAGGAGTTCTGCTCACTGGCTTGTTCCCCCTGGCTTGCTCAGCTTGCTTTCTTACAGAAGCCAGAACCACCAGCCCAGGGGTGTCCCCACCCACAATGGGCTGGGCCATCCCACATCTATCACTAATTAAGAAAATGCCCCACAAGTTTGCCTACAGCCTGATCTTATGGAGGCATTTTCTCAACGGAGACTCCCTTCTCTCTGATGTCAAGTTGAATGTAAACTAGCCAGGACAGACACTGTCACAAAACAAGGAAACACAGCCATTGTGGGCTTTGGATTGGAAGATGACCAGGGCAAAGTGCCTTCTCCATCACAAGTCACAGCCCGAACCATCAACCATTAGAACCATCTGCAGGGATATCAGACTCATCTTGATCACTGGCTGAGATAGCATTGGTCTGTTTTTTCTGCTGCTGAGTTCCTGGTCTCTACTTTTTCATTCCCTCCTCCTGGGAAGGAGTCTCCTAACATAGCCTGTATTTAATTAGTCGAGACTTATGACCCCTCCCTATCCCTGGGGGGGGGATATTTATCTACAACTGTGTGTTATTTATAATTTGAATATAAAACTAGCCAGGACAGACACTGCCACAAGACAAGGAAACACAGCCACTGTGAGCTTTGGATTGGAAGATGACCAGGGCACAGTGGCTTCTCCATCCCAGGCCACAGTATATACCATCAGCAGGGTTATCAGATTCAGGGGAGGTTTTCTCTTTTCCTTCACTTAGTTGCTTGGGTATTTACTTATCAATCTGAACTCCTGAATACCTTCCATATCCTTTGGGCTGTAATCTAACCCTTCTGAAGCTCAAAGCCTTGCAGCTTGCTTCTTGTGTCCCTTTGATAAGTTCCTACCAATGTGGTTTGTTTCTTTTTTAAAAAGCACGTTTCTAGAAGATGTGCCAGGTCCTTCTTGTAGAGTGCCTATCAAGAACTAGCCATTTCATCAAGGAATTGGTTTCCTAATGCTTGGAACTTTTACTGGAAAGCCAAGTCTGACCCTGAGTGATGGCATATGCCTGTAATCCCAACACTCTGGAGGCAGATACGGGAGAATTGTGAGTTCAAGGTCTACTTGAGCTGTATACTTTGGAAGAAGCCAAGGTCTGGGTACTAGGTGGACTTGCTAATGGAATGTCATTAATTCCAGGCTCTCATGTGAAAAATACATTTGTGTATAGAGATTTAGATATACCTGTGTGTGTGTGTGTGTGTGTGTGTGTGTGTGTGTGTGTGTGTGTATCTACATACCTACGTGTATCTATATTAA